CCAAATAATAATAATAATAATAATAATAATAATAATAATAATAATAATAATAATAATGTCAACGGTATTCAAATATATATGTTGATGTGATGTGATAATAAATGTTAAACAGATTGATCTGCATGTTTACTCGCTAAAAAAAAAATGTATTTCCTCTTTTTTTTTAATTAGAGATAGAGAACAACAACAATAACAACACAAAGAATGTACACAATAATCATTTCTTTCCCTTTCATTTATTTTAATCGAATAGGTAATAATAATAATAATAATAATAATAATAATAATAATAATATATATATAAACAAACAAACAGCCAAATATACAAAAATAAAAAGAAGAGTTATATCATTTCATTAAAAGACTCTCTCTACTTCTAATATTCATTCATACCTTCTTCTTCCTATTATTCTTATTACTACTATTATTATTACTATTATTACTATTTCCTGTAAATCGTGCATAATTTGCATATGAACGTCCCACTTTAGAAGCCGCATTTGTCCACGATGATGAGATCTGTTGTTGTTGTTGTTCCTCTCGTAGGAGTTGTGCATATCGTCCCTTTTCTTCTAATGTCATCTCTGTAAAGAAGAGTGGCGATTCCCCACTGGGAATTGTCGGCTCCCATTCTTTTTTACGATGTGAATAATATTTGTGTTGTTGTTGTTGTTTAATGGAAGTGTGGAAAATATCTTCAGCTCCAAATACACGTCCCTGTCGTTTTCCACTTTCTGCAGAAACACTACCACTATTATTATTATTATTATTATTATTATTATTATTATTATTATTATTTTTCCCTGTTGATTTCTTTTCTCCTTTTTCTCCTTCTTCTTGTTGTTGTTGTTGTTGTTTCCTTCGCTTTTCATGTCTAAGAAGATATTGTATACGTTGTTTAAACTGTGCATTCTGCAGTCTTCTCTCTATAAAGGTGGCGGGTTTCCCTAAAGTCCGTGCGGTTTGCGGAATCGTCGCGCCGCCTCTAATCATGCGGTAAATAATTGTGTCCTCCTCAAATGAAAAGAAACGACTGTGGCTGAAGGGATGATTGGCGGGATTTCTCAACTCCGCCGCCTGTTGATCTTCACTATTAATATTATTATTAATATTATTATTTATATGGGAGAGAAGTGTATCCCACTCAAGTGTAGATTTCATACTCCATGTGTCGCCATCGGCAAAATCGTGTGGAACTCGTTTACGGCGTAATCCCGCTTTTGCGGTAAATCGTCCACTTTTCTTATTATTATTATTATTATTATTATTATTATTATTATTATTATTACTAGTAGTAGAAGAATCTTCTTCTTGTTTATCTTTCTCTTCTTTTCCCTGTGAAGAAGATAATGATGGATCTTTTAATGTACCGCATCTCTGCAGTAATTCATAGGCGGTGTTGATGACTTTCATCTTTTGATCATCGCCGCTGCTGAGATCGGGGTGGTGCAGACGGGCGAGTTTTAAATATTGCGATCGCACTTTGGCGGTAGTGGCGTGATGGTCTAATCCCAATACCCGCAATGCCGCCGTAATGTCCGCTGCGGATTCCCGGAATAGAAAAGAAACACGAAACATTCTCTAAACAATCTAAATTAATAATAATAATAATAATAATAATAATAATAATAATAATAATAATAATAATTGTGGTTGTGATTCTTTCTTCTTATTCTTCTTGTTACTGTTGCTGTTGTTTGTTCCTATATTCAATTCTATTAAAAGATTGCTATATATATATATATATATATACATAGATAGAAAGAGAAGAAAGAAAAAGAATAGAAGGAGTTAATATGAAGGGATTCATAAATAAATAAATAAATATATATATATTGAGGGAAAACAGAGGCGGAGAAGGGTGTGTGTATAAGTAGCTGAGTGTTCATAGAGAAAAAATCATAGTTAGTATCATTTCCCATTGCTAATCCACAAAGGAAGAAAGAGAGAACAAAAAAAAAAAAGACAAATAGATAAATAGATACAATAATAATAACAACAATAAACAAACAAAAAAAAAAGAAGAAAAAGAACCCTGAACAGCAATTACACAGTTTAAAATAAAAAGAAACATAAACAAAACAGAGAAATAGAAGAATGAA